ACCTTGAAATATTTTCTCATAGCATTGAATACTATTGAAGACATAATAGTAGAATTGGAATTATCGCATGATATTCTTTCTTTATATTTTAAGAACCTCCTTTGCTATTTTCTGGCTAGGTTGTTGTAACCACTTGTCAGTATATTTATTAGCCTGTTTAGTTACTTGATCTTTCACTTTATATGCCTCTTTTGAGAATTCTGGATACAGATATTCTCCAGGCCTCAAAATTGGATTATTTGAAGCATTTCATTTTCTGTCCATCTCAACTCAAGCAAATAATTTAATTAGTTTCCTATTTCAATTACTTCCAATCTCAGCTCTTACCACAGTGAACAAGCATCAATATCCTTCTTTATTTCTGCATTGAAAGAAATCTTTTCTACTTGTGTGAATATCTCTTACAAGTTAACACAGTTTGACTTTTGGCAATCCTGTTTTGTCCTTCCTGACCTTGAGGACAAAGTTGCTTGGCTGACTAGACAATTTTTTTTTATTTTTTTTTTTTGTAGCAGGGGTAGTGTTTGGTTTTTGAGTTTGGTTTTTTTTGGGACAGTCTATGCTTGTTCTTAATATATTTTTGAGATGATTATGAAATTATACCTGGAGACATTCTCAAGTCATTTCTTTTACAGTAGCTTGTGACCATGATTTTGAAAGCCCAAGCCTCTTCTGAGTCCTTGTTCTGCTCTGGTGTTAACATAAGTCCTGCTTTAAGTACAGGTATATTTTAGGTATGAAGACTGTTGGAGGCTCCAGAAAAGTAGAGATGAAGGACTCTGACCTTTGTTGACATTTATCTGTATTTTTTCAAGCAATAACCAAAAAGGCAATCTCTTTCTCCTGACTATACAACNCTCCCACCCCCCACCCCCTCTCCCAGAAACCATGGAAATGTCTTTTTTGTATTAGGAACCAAAATTGAAGATAGTATTTCAGATACAGTCTCAAAAACAGAGGAAAACAATCCACCAGCTGAACATAATCAACCTGCTGTATGTCTCCTTGGCTAAGAGAACCCAGAGAGCCAGTGTGAGGGCACATTGCTGCATCTCCCATCCCTGGAGGTATTTAAAATACATGACATTAAAGATATGTTCTAGTGATAGACTTGGCAGTGCTGGATTAATGGTTGAAACCAACAACCTTAGAGGTCTTTTCCAACTTAAATGATTCTATAATTCTCTTACATTCAACTTGTACACCAGAATGCTCAGCTGCTTTTCTGTAGATATACTTTTTGCAAGTCACTGCCTGTCTGTACTTTTATTTGAGGTTATAATGTCATATCATATCGTATAATATCAGGTGCAGGACACTGCATATCCTTTGGTGAACTTCCTTAGATTTCTCCCAGCTTGTTTTTTCTGCAGATTGAGATCTTCTGGTTGGTAGCCCTACTTTCCAGCATGCTGAAAACATGTTGGTGCTACCCATGAAATTGCTGAAGGTGCACTTTTTTGCACTGTCCCAATAATTAATAAAGACTTTAAATAGTTTGAGCTCTAGCACTGACACTTAAGGATGTTCGCCATTAAGTGATATCCAGTTTCATTTCCTATACCATTTATCATCTTTAACACTGAGCAGCCACTTTGTAATCAACACACCTAGTTCATATCTCTTCAGTTTGATATGTGGGTATTCTAGAAGACCATGTCGAAAGACTTGTTGAAGACAATGTAAGTTATAGCCCAATTTTATCTCTAGTACTCATGATATGTAATAAAGAAAAAATTAGAGGAAAAAAACTCCACCAAAATCATTAGGAATACACCATGAAACACCAAAAAGCCAAGGATGAAAAGGACAATTTGATTACTGAACTCAGTGTTTAGGATTGCCTAGAAGCAAGGAATAGGAACTATCAAAATGGATTCTGTGCAAATAGGCTTTTCCACCTTTTTACTACCATACATTTCCTTTAGCACACAAATATATACACAAGCATGCAGCCAGGGTACTTCTAAAGGCCAGTTCAAAAAAAAAAAAAGTGATTCAGAGGTAAAATTTAAATGAAAAAATTTGGAACCTAATTTAATTACCTTGAAATACTCCAGTTCTCTGTCCATGAAATAAGTTTAACTTACTTTGATGAAGAAAATAAGGAAGCCTTTCTTAGCTGACCTTGTAACAGTTCTGAATTTTCAATTGATAAAAAATCTGAAGTTGAATATTTGCGAATAGGTCTTTATGAAAAATTTTGAAATACAGATTAGCCTGGATAAGTAAATTAAAAAGTTACAAACAGCTGTGGAACAGTGAGAATTGGCCTCAATCTAAATGTATTCTCTTTTTTTCCTTTCACAAAATGTGAATGCAGAATTTTAAGAAAACTGAGACCCCTGGTGTAGTTTCAGAAGATTGGAGACAAAATGTGACTGAATCACAAGATCACGGGTGATCGTGGGTCCTTTCTCCTTTTGAATCTATGCATTCTTTCTGAGCTATAATGGCTGGCCCATAAAACAGAATCTAATTTTCTGGAATAATATAAGGAAAGAAGTTGGGGTTTTTTGGAGGTGGAGGTGGGGTTTGAGGTTTCACCTGGCAATTTTCCTCAAAAGGAGTGTAATATTTATATCTGCTAGTAAATTTTAGCTTTTAGCAGCTAAAGACTCTATAATCTTCACTCTTGCTAAAGCATCATTCCTTATAGAAGCAATAAATATTCATGCTACAGCAATAAGACCACTGTTTGGACTAGAACTCTGCTAGGCTGAGCACTGAAAGCAAAGTTGTTTCTCCTGAGGGATGAAGGTTTTGCCCCCTGAGAGCTAATGATCCAACGTGTCATATTCTGTCATAATATCTTATTCAAATAAGAGTAACCTGCTTTACATTACCAACAGGCAAACCAAATTTTTATAGGCTATTTCATGGCAATATTATAAGGTATGGAATCAGTGAATATTTATATCTGAATATAAATGAATATACATGAATATTTTAGAATATGATACTGGAAAAGAAAAAAAAAAGAAACCTTTTGGCGTTTTAAAAAATCATTTAGTTGCTGAAACAACTAGATGAAACTATGTCTCCCCACTATACAGACATCCTGTTTGGGAAAAGTAACCAACAAAACTCTGGGCTGTTGAGCCCAAAAAAATTATTTGTGCCCTTTGGCAAAGTTATCTTCCTACAGTTTTATGTAGCACAAAAAAAAAACCCAAAAAAAAAAACCATATATATTTGGCCAAATCCTCCCCTGCCACAGTAGAACCCCTGGAACTGGAAAGTATCCAGAAAAAACTCAGAGAACTCAGACCAGTGGCATGTTTGCCTGCTCCATGAACAAGCAAGAAATTCATCTAGCTAACAAGCAAGCTCAGCGAGACCTTTTGCTGAGCAAATTTTACTCATTTGTAACCCTGACAAATTTGTCCACTCTTGGAATTTTTCCACGACCTATTTTGTAAGGAGACATTGCAGCCTACAGATCTCTCAAATCCTTCTCACTGCAACTGTTGTTTTGAGCAGCTAATATTTACTATCGTGTTTCTGGACTGTGTGTCTGTTCAGACACAGACCGTTGTCTGTTTGGATGATCTAATATTTACCAGTTCTTACAGCAGAAAATAACTCAGCTGCATCACAACCCTCACTTTTGTTTAAGAATTAATTTTCACTACTAACTCTGTTTCTAGAAAATTCATGTTGCGCAACATTTCTTAATCATAGATGGGAAAGACATAAAAAGTAGTGAAAAAATTAAGGCTTTTTATAGCTAAGTGGTCCACACAGGAAACTATACAGACTCCACCTCATTGTGTACCCAGCCAGAGCAGGACCACACCACCTCCCTTAATTTATCACAAATTCATTGAAGTCTGTCTCATTAATCTAGAGAGTCTGAAATTAACCCTAGTATTATATTCAAGGGAAAATGCCAATTCCTGTTTAAGTAAAATAAAGAACTGAAGTATATTCTAGAATTTTTCACTTTTTCGAGACAGATAATGTTAAAGATTAATGGCAGATGATAGAAAACTTCTTTGAGGGAATAAAGTAATAACTGTAAAGACATACAGGATCATAGAATCGCAGAATGTTTTGGGTTGGAAGGAACCTTAAAGATCATGGTCAAAGACATCTTCCGCTAGACCAAGTCACTCAAAGCCCCATCCAATCTGGCCTTCACCTCTTCCAGGGATGGGTCAGCCACAGTTCTCTGGGACACTTGAATATCTGAACAGAGCTGAGTGAAGGTGTGCTTGTGTTATTCAGGGATGTACTCTGTGAGGCAACTTTCTACCCCGGCAACATCTTACAATAACCTAGTGTATAGGAGTTCACACATTTAATGCACTTTGGCCACGTTAGTTTGCTTCTCCCAACAGCCCTGCCAAGCACATGCTGTAGTTGATGACAAAGCTACCCTGTTCTCCAGCCATGCCTGAACCTCTGTCTCAAGGCTGTTTCCCTGGCCCTGTCCTTCATCTTAAGAATATTCCATGAAAATAACTAGCATGGTTCCGTATGACTGGAACAACTACAAAGCAATAAATAAAAGAGTTGAACAGAACAAGATCTTGGGAGAAAAAAGGGTTTTATTTCGTTATCATATTCCTAAAACATAGGGCATGTCAAGCTACTCTACACACATTGGGTGCTTTAAACTACATTGATTCAATGGGGCTTTGAGTATTTTTTATTTTTATTTTTCCTGCTTAGTGCTATAGAAAAAAACAGTGAGGTATCCAATATGGACCTCAAAGGATTCAAGGTAAAGACAGATTTGATTGGAATGTGCCAAATCAAATGTATAGCTGTTGTTACTGCTTATTAATTGTCAGGCTGTAGTGCTTGCCCGCTATGTATTAGAGCTTAGTGCTCATCAGTGGCTGGTTTTTTTTTGCTTTCTCTGCTTTGTGCATTGCTGCACTGCTGCTCTGCTTATCATCTTGCTCTGCTGTGCCTGGGAACATTTTGATAACAACCGTGGCAATGTGCCTGGACTGGCAGATGGCCAGGCCATCGCTGCTCTCTCTGTCCTGCTCTGCTGGAGAGGCTTGAAATCCAGTGGGAACTTGACTTGAAAGGGCTGTGACCTGCGAGCAGGACACCCCAAAGTGTGCCATGGATATCTCTGTGTCCCCCCTGCAGATGTAACTCTGAAGGTATTGGTGTCCAAGGGTAAGTCCATGCTGGAGAAGAAATACCTCAGAATATCTGTGTATCTATGGATAAGTCTGCGCTGCAGCAGGTGCACCTTTAAACATTAGTGACTCTGCATGAAGATGTGCTGGAGCACCTCAGAGTGTGGCCATGGATAAGAGCAGGTGCATCCCTGCAGGAACTGCAGCCATGGGTAAGGCCAGGATGGATCAGGTATCTCTGAAGACATTGTGGCCCACAGGAAAAGGCCACACTGGAACAGCTGCACCTCAAAGCAACTGTGGCTGCAGATAAGTCTGTGACACAGCAGGTATGTATATCCCTGAAAAGACTCCCAGATAAAACTTCTAGAGTTTTGCATTCTCTCTTTAACTTAGAGGAGCAAGTGCTCTACCATGGGACTACAGTCTGCAGGTAAGTCCAGGCTGGAGAAGGGTTCATTGACATGACAAACACTGTGATCTGGTCCAAAGGGAACAGGGGTGGAGATTTTGATGGAAATACCTTTAAATTTTTGTAACCCAAGTTTTAAGTTGACTGTTCCAGAAATTACTATGGCAGGAACCACCCAAACCAGTGGAGAACAAGTTCTACAGGAAGCAGCTGCATCCAACCAGAGCTGACTTGGGTTTTCAGTAACTCCATGGAGCGCACCACCTCTCCTGTCCTGAGTGACCACCATAGCAGATGGAGCCCAAAGTCATGGACTAAATTAACTCAATGGACATTTAATGGACATTAGTGGTAAAGACTAATAAAATTATATCTCTGTGTGATATTGAAGGGTGAGAAGGGAGGTGGTGGTTAGTGAGGCTGTACTGGATACTGTGGGACTTAAACATTATGTAAATGGTGTGGAATAATGGGTGGAGGATGTGCTTGATTAGGTTGGAGTACAGTTAATTTTGTTCATAGTAGCTGGTATGGCTGAGTTTGGGGTTTATGCTGGAAATACCATTGATAAAAAAGGGATGTTATCGCTGCTGCTGAGCAGTGCTTACCCAGCATCAAGGTGTTCTCTGCTCCTCACCCTACTTCATCAGCAAGGAGGCTGGGAAGTGCATGGGAAAATGGGAGGAGACACAGCCAGGCTGGCTGAGCTCAACTGACCAAAGGAATATTCCATACTATATGGAATCATGCTCATCATATAAAACCTGGGGAAAAGAAGATAGTGGAGAATGTTTAAAGTTATGGCATTTGTCTCCCCAAGGTAAAATTACATGTGATGGAGTCCTGCTTCCCCTGCAATGGCTGGACACCTGCTTGTCCATGGGAAGTAGTGAATTAATACCTTATTTTCTTTTGCTTGCATGCACAGCTTTCTCTTTACTCATTTAATTGTATATATCTCAAACCCTGTGTTCCCCAGTTTTTACTCTTCTCCTTTTTCCAATCCAGAAAGTGTCTGGTGCTTAGCTGCCAGCTGGGCATGACATAAATTCTTGAAAGTAACAAAATCACTTATTATGGAGTAGTTGAGGCACAAAGATTTAATTTTTCCAGGAAACTAGAAGTTTGGAGAAGAAATATGAAGGGGTACATAGTTTGGTTGGAGTGAATCACAGTGCACAAGATAAAATGAAACATGTCCATGAAAGTGATGAACATAATTCACCCTGTAGAAAGATTCTCAGAGCTAAAAATGTACAACCTAAAGATGGCAACAAAATAATAAAAGCATTTTTATTTTAAGTACTAAAAAATAAAGGGACTAAAGTACTAAAATGATAATTGCACTGGATTGTTATGGTTTGTCCAAACAGCTATAAAGAAGAGATATGTGATTTCTAGAAGTACAGCTCTATCTTTGGAAATAATTAGTAGTTAAAGGACAGGGAACAAATGAGTCTGTATTTTGCAGTAGAGGTATTTTTGCAATGAATTTGGATTATTTTACTGCTTTAATAGAAATAAATTTGTGATTTTAATGGCAGATTATTTGAGGGCATGTCTGATGAAAGAAAGACAGTCACTGCTTTGTAAAGACCCTGGTCTAGGTGAATGACAGGAATGACCTAGGTCCAAAAGAGTTTTTTTTGTGTTGGTTTTTTATTTCTTAAAATTTCAAACAGTGAATCTATAGAATTTTGCCTTTAAACCACCTACTAAAACTCAGAACATCATGTAGTCTATGTTTAGACTCAAGAGTAGAAAGTATAAACTTCACTTTTTTTCTCCTCTGCAAACTGCAGCAGCTAGCAACCAGCCTCCTTTTCATAATCTCCAGTCCTAAAAGCCACAATTATAACATTCAAAATGTGTTTCTTAGATTAGAGTGCATTTTGACATTCTGTATTATTTTCTGTTCTTTGATGCCACAGTATTTCTTAACATTAATCTTTCATCATAGTCTTTATAATATTTTTTCTATTTTTTTTTTTTTTATGAAATCTTAGGGGAGTGAAGATGACAGAAATACTGCATATAGTACAGCTGTGCTTTCTTTTGGGGAGTTTAGCAGCTGAGAACAAGACAGCAAATCAACATCCTGTGCTCCAGCAAGACCTTGGTCAGCCAGAAACATGAGCCATTTCAACCAGGACCACTATAATCCTTAGGGGAGTGTGTGCCATCACAGACCACTCCACCTCCCCAGACCAGGAAGCACAGAACTCTCATAAAAGCTACTCTGAAGGCAAAAAGCACTTGCTTGTTTTTCCCAGTGAAGGAAGTCATTAATGGTTTTTAAAATACCAGGAAGATTGTTAATGGTCTAGAGGATCTTCCTGATTGCTCATTTCAAAGGAAGAAAGGAAGGAAGGAATTTCTGAGAGAATTCTGGCCAGATTTTACATATGCTTTCTGCTTGGAGCTTTGCTGAAAGAATAATAAATTGTTTCTTGATTAAAAATCTGTAGCATCTGGAAACTTGACACAATATGTTGTAAGCTTTGACTTCATGCAAATAAATATTATGAGCTCCAAAAGTTGATATTGATTTATGCCAGTCAATCAGCAGATGACAAGAGACTTTGCACCAAATAGGAAGATGGATTACCTCTCTGCTTTCAGCCAAGTTACATAGAAGCAAAGAAAAAAATTAGGTTGTTCTAATGGCTATTTTATGCTTTGGACACTTGTCAGCATATCTGGCTGGACATATGTCAACATATCTGGCTGGAAAAGACACAAAAAATGGTGTATGCCAAATGAAAACTCAAATATTAAAAAATATATTGAAGTAGATTAGTCCATTAATTCAATTCAGCTTCATTTTCTCAGCTAAAATCTGAACAATTAATTTTGTTAACTTCAGTTCTGTAAGACAAACAATCCTTCGTTTAAAACTTACATAATACTGACTTCTGCCAGAAGTCTATTGAAATATAGACTCATGTTTGACACAGGGTACAAACTAACATTTCTTTCTTTTGCTGCTTTAGGGAAATGACAATAGTCTGATGTGAGCAATGTCGTCACTGCTTTCAAGTTAGTTTCAAATATTTTTTGTTCTGCTTTCAGATTTTATGGAGATACTGCACAAAAACAACATTTCAAATTTATGTTTAAACATATGTTACTGCTGAAAAGATTGGTAGATGTCACTTCTTAGTAAACAGCCTATTAAGTTAAGTTGTTAAATTTATTTTCCTATGTATGAACCTCTTAAATTCTACTTTGGATATTAATTTGTGATGACCATTATTTGGCTGCTGCAGTTCCACTAACATTAATAGGATTTCCCAAAGTTTGGAACATAGTAGTCAACTTCCTTTTCCTTTTTACCTTAGCAGAATATTTCATTGACCAATGGCCCAGAAGTACCAGATTCCTGGTTCCACTCCATTTACACACACAGAGTGCAGCTAAGCCAGTAAAAAAAAAGCACTTTACTGTCAAATTTACCTGCTGGGGCTAATTGTGCTGTATCACTAAGCTTGGCAAAAGGATTTTTCAGGAATTCAGCCAGTTTGGGAAACCCCCATGCACATTCTATATGTGTAGGACTGGTCTGAGTGCATCAGGGTATGGCACATATTCTTGATTAAATCCGTCTCAGATTTTCTATTCACTGAAAATCTTGTATACAGAGAGGTATGGAATGAAATACATCCAAAGAATATTTATCTTCAGACTTCTTGCTTAAAATCCAGCCTCTGTAATTAAAAAAGGAAAATTTTCATGACCACCATATTAAATTTTATATTCATTGTGTTGGTTATTCAGTAAAGTGCATTTGAAAATCTAGAGAAGTTAATTTCTAAAATAAACTCTTTCTTGAAAAGAATGCTGAAAATATTCCAAAAGCTATTGTAGGAACCAAGACTGGAGGGATACCTGACTATGTTAGTGACATTTTAAGGTTATAGAGTGATTCCTTTTGCATTCTCTCTTTCACTACTTTTGGTATTTATGTAAATGTGACCAGAAATGGTTCTGTAAAAAATAAAAAAATAAAAAAAAATTCTCCCATAATATGCCTTTCATAAAAACTGTCCTCAGAAAAGTTACAGAAGGTAACTTTTTTATTTTAATTAGCCTTATGCTGACACTACCTTTTCATTTAGTGATGCCAAGACTGTGAACAATGGAGGTATTGATGTAAGCTGTGCTGCTCACAACAGTTTCTAAGTTCTCCATTGCTTCAAACTGTTGACATATTTTATGCTGAGGCAAACTGAATAGAAAATGTTGTCAAATCAGAAGGACTTATACTTTCCTTGAGGTGTAGATGATTTAAGAGATCCTTATCATCAAAAGCTGTAAGAATGGTTATTGAGGTACAGAATGCATATAATCAAATAGATCAGAAGTAACTAACCTTTGCAACATGGACCATTAGGCTTCAGGCAAGAAGAAATGAAAAGCAACTGCCAGTGAGTTAATCAAGTTCTAAGATATGTTATCCACCATGACAAAAGATACAGTGAAACCAGGCAGTACCATTCCACATGCTCGTTTTTGTGCTTTACAAGTAGGCTTGCTGTCTGTAAACAACTACACAATTTGATTTTCAAAATCAAAAATATATGTAATTTCCTAGATTTTGAGAAGTCCTCAATGTAATAAAAACCTATAAAATTATAAAAGGGTGGGACTAGGTGTTTTATCTTATTTAACTATCTATCAGTTGCTCTTTTTCAATATGAACTTCAGTCTTGCAACTCTTGCATTTTTCTTTATTTTTGAGGCTGAGGTGATGTTTAGTTATATTATCTGCTGACCAGCTAGGACAGTCTGCCTTTTCTTCCCTGTCTTGTCTGATCTATAATGACGATGGAGGTTGATACAGTAAACAGGGATTTTTAGGGAAATTCCTAAATAGGGAACATAGGGGAAGGTGGTGTTATTTTGAGGTAGTATCTCTCTCTTTAAGGCTGGTCCTTTCTTATATTTACCCACTCAGTCGGTTTTACAGATCATGAATAAATGAAGTATTGGAGCAAAAGACCTTTGCCTAAACACTTTGTACAGGGGTGATGTTATGCTTGCATAAATTGAAAGAAGGGCTCTAAGTTTTTATGTATGTATTATGACCTCACTGGTGGTGCTTTCCAACCTTAACCATTCTGTGATTCTGTGTTTTTTCACATGCGTATGTGAAAAAGACAAAATCCTTCCTTTGTACTCCTAGGTATTCAAGCAATCATTTTGGAAGGTTTCATAAGTGAAGAGGCTTTACCATAAAGGGAAGCTATAAATGCCAACTTATATTCTGCAAATTCATTGTTTCTGGGTACTTCAGAACACGTGGATTTAGTGTTGTATAAAAATGGGTCAGTGTGCCTTGGTTTAGGTTTTTCACTGCCACAGAGTTGGAGATGCTGTTAATTTTGGGGCTGTAGGTGACAAAGCATTCTGTTCTAAGTGATGCACACTTGTCTCCAGTGGACAGCTGTTTGTGCTAAAATCAAATTGATTCATCCTGAAAAGACAGCAGACATTTATTACACAGGTATCTGTCTCTTCAATACCCGGATTTTGGATGTTTGATGTCGTTGAAGTTACCATCATCTAATGAGTATTCAAATGCACTTAAAAAACAGTAGTAGAGATTCACGAGGAGAATCTCTTTGCAGTGGCAAGGGTGGCTGGGTAATTGTCTCAAAGGGAGAGGTCCATGAAACCAGTGGCAATGTCTCAAATTTTTTCTTTCTTCTAATGCTTCCACTGGTGTGAATTTCTTAAAATAATAGTACATCATTTTCTATTGTTTTGATAGTCCTTTTTTTTACAAAGGTGTTTTTTGCATAAAATATTTTTATTTGTGATTAAAATGTTTACACCTTTAACATTTTCCCATATTGCTGTATAAAAACTAAAACCAAAGTCAAACTTTTCATTAAACATTTGATCTCATGAAACTTCTAGAAGTGTACATTCATTATTTCCAACCCAACCTACTGGCTTTCTTTAAAATCACAAATAAGGTTTTGATTATAGAATTTGGATAGCCAATTATAACATAAATCCAAGCCCAAAAGGCCACATAAATTTAAAAAACAGATTTTACTTTCTCACCTTATGGTTTCAGCTTCAACACATCACCACTTTTATTGTTTCATATGACACAGAGCCAAAGTAACTGAAGCATATTATGGTGAGAGTGGTTTGAAAATAGATTTGACCATTTGAACCAAAAAAATCCTTAGCTACTTATACCTTTCTCTTAATTTTTGTGCAGAGATAGTTTTGGAATGGCTTTGGCTTTGGCTTATTTAAATTGCTTATCCTTGAATCTTTTTAGCCTATACATAAAATATTTGCCAAAAGTATTTATTAAACACTCTAGCACGTCTTTACAGGGCATGTACCTGGTAGTATGAAACAGAAGTTTAAGATTTAAAAAATATCAGAATTTCACCTTCTGCTTTTCCAGTGTACTCATGAAAAAAAGGATATAGAATGCAACTGAACAGAACATTTTGGATTTATTACTTACAGGGCTCCAGACACACACACAATAGGTTATAACTATATCAATAATCACACAAACTGGCAATATGAACCAAAATACAAATTAGATTCAGCTTAATTGTGAAAATATCAGAGAGGAGGCAGGGCATTTTAAAGAAGACTCATTGATATTATATGTGAAATGTTTTATGACAATGGGGGAAACAGTTTTAAAATAAAAATATCTTTATATCTCCTATGTAAGTAGTTACCAATTTAAAAAGCCTGGGTTTTTTTCCTTTTCTGTGATAGACCTTTTCACAGGCAAGATGGAAACAGAGACAGAAAGGATGTAAACCACAGAATCACAGAGACATTAAAGCTGGAGAAGACTTCACCTTCTTCTGCCTGTAGTTTTTTTGTTTTAAAGGCCTCCAATTACATATTTCACACTCTCCTCAGGGAATCTGTTTCGAGGTTTGGATAATCTCCATGCTGAAAGTGTTTTCTTATGTGTAGACTGGTTTTCTTCCATTTAAGTAATAAGCTATCCACTTTAGGTCTGAAAAACAATAGTTTCCCTTCTTTGCAGATGTGCAAGACTATAATACTGTCCCCTTTCATTTTTTTATTCCGTAGGTTGTTAAGCCTTGGTTTTGAATTTCTGCCTGATGTCATATCTTCTTGAGTCCTCTTTTGGCTTTTACAACTTTCAAAACTCCCTCCAAAGGAACTGAATCATTTCTAGGCTGGACTATCCCAAGCTTGATACACAATCCCAGCTAAGGCTTTTGAGTACAAAGCAGATTATAGGGGTCACTTTAGGTACCTTTCAGATTCTCAGTTACCCCAATATTTTTATGCATCTGCATGTCATTTTAAATGTTGAATTAGCATGTGATGCACTCTAGACCTCAGCCTGCTTCCTGAACATCTATTAACCTTCAGCATCCCAATGCAGATGTAATTTGCTCTCTGTTTCTGAGTTAATGTAGATCAATTTCTTTTTGAGAGTTCTTTCAGAACCACAGGATGACAACAAGCAGGCTATCCTGACTTACATATTCATTCTCTCTCAGGAAAGAATATGAA